AGGAAAGTACATACTCAACCAAGATGTTCACCACACCTGATTTATAATTGTGAAACTTGGGAAGTAACTGATATGTAATAGAAAACGGAGCATATAAGTTATATAGTACAGCGTCTGAGTGGTCTGTTGTATTTCTATTTTTAAATGAAGGTGGTAAATATTATTTAACACTTATAAAATTAGTGGGACATCACAGAAGGTGAAAGGAATACTATGTTAAATGGAGCTGTTAAAAAGGGTATAGGAAAATACCTTTTTTCTCAAATGGAGTGAGAGCACCAGTTTTTTGTTTCTGCTTAAATTTTATCATTCTATTGTATATTTTAATTTAAAACCTGTAATTACTGAGATTATAATTCTCAATAAAATTTTGTTTCCCCTTTCAGGTGTGAATCTGGTTATACTGGACAACAGTGTGAAAAGACAGACTTTAGTATTCTCTATGTGGTGCCAAGTAGGCAGAAGCTCACTCATGTTCTTATTGCAGCTATTATTGGAGCTGTGCAGATCGCCATTATAGTGGCAATTGTCATGTGCATAACACGGTAAGTCATGGCATAAGAAATGGCTGCTTTAAATTGGAGCGGTAGATAAAGGAAAACTGAGGCACACTGAAAAATGATAAGGGTTTTATGTCTAGCCCTCTATCAGGGAAAAAATCCCTAGGATCAATTCCTTGAGGTTTCCACGTGAGTCTGACCTCTCCCTTTTTTGCTTCTTTAAAATATGGGCAAGTGCTTATTCTTGGGGGTAAGGGGTATGTCAGGGCTGCAGGCAGAAAGAGCATGAGAATAGTAATACATAATAAAGTTTAGGGCTCTTAGAACTGTGTCCCATCTTTGAACACTGTATCCAGGATAGCAGGATGCTTAGAATGGTCTACACATGTACAAAAGAGCCATGCAGACATTTTTTAAGCCCTGGGAACCTTCAAGGTGTTATCTGCGCTTAGCATATACTTTAATCTGTAATAAATATTAGTAAGAAAGGAAGGAATTAGAAGTTAAAGCTGCTTTGCTTATTTTGTCATTGTCTTAACATTACTTCATTTGCTGGATTATAGTAATATGTAATAATTTTAAAGTTTTCTATCACCACTGAAATCATTTGTCATATAAATGGTTTTGAACTGGCATAAACTGGGTGTTTTCTGAGTTTAATAGAAATATATGTCAGAGCTGAACTGAACCTGAGAAAAAAACAAGCAAGTCAAGTTCATATTGTCTTTATGCTTCCTACTCTCCTGTCTTCCTACTCTAAGGTTTGATGTATATCATTTCTATACTTCTTTGCTGTATTCTAGACAGCATGTTGGCTCATATCAACTACAGATATTGGCAGGCCGTGATGGGTTTATGGCTCTTCTATGCAAAGTCTGGATAGAAGCCAGGCCTTCAGTTATCTTAGCCATCTGGAGCTGAAATGATAAGTCTAGAAATTATAGAAAATGCTCTGAGTAACATATTTTTCATAAAAATCCAGGGACTAACGTCAGTGGACTTTATTCTATAAGGTAGATGATCCACCCTTAGGCAATTCCACTGAATGTAAAATTGGGTGGATTAGAGGGACATAATGTTATAAAAAGTCATGTCAGCAGAAAAAGAGAAAACATGTGTAACAGCAGGGCTGCCTGTGGCCATTTGCTGTAGGCTCAAAGGTAGGCACTTTGCCTCTGGTCCTTCAAGCAGTGTGCTGAAGCCCTGGATTTGGATTCAGTGCTGCCTGACTCCTAAATCATCCCTCTTTACATCGAACCCCCAGAGGAGGGTCCGTGTTGTGTCATGCCAAGCATGAGTATCACGTGGGGACAAGGTTAACTTGATTTTCTAGCAGTTCGGGGTTCTTGAGCACCAGGGGAACATGAACTTGGTATAAACTATCTTAAAAGGCAATAATCTGAACATCAAATACATAATTCATTGGAGGAGGGAAAATGTTAGGTAGGGGCAGATCATTTAGGACATAATTAGGGGAAAGCAGTCATGGAGTGATCAGTGATTTGGAAGGTGAAGGAATTAAATAAGATAAAGATAAGGGAAGGTTTTGAGACCTGGTGACCTTTAAGAAGATCAAAGGCTATTAGAGTTGGCTGGAAGCACTTTGAGTTCAACCTCTTTGTTCTGGGGAAGCGAAGAAACTGAAACCCTGAGGTGGGAGTGCCTTGACCAAGGTCATAGAGAACAGTCCTTTGTAAACCGTAATCCATATTTTTGTCCTTCTCTGCACTGTAATCCTCAATTACTAAATTAGGCTATTTTCTTTAGTATGCTGCAGTTTGTACCTGAAATCCATTTGTAGCCTTCACAGACAGCTAGATAGCACAATCAAAGTTTCATTGTGTCACGTGTCTACCTGAAGAGTCATCTTGAATTTATCACAGATTTCTTCTTGAGACCTGTCTTTTATTGTGATATTTTTCTCCCCATGCATCTTGCTATGTTGTAGACTATTATAACTTTGTATTTGGACTTATCTAAGTAGAATTTTTCGGGAGTGGCTCTCCCACACAGTCATTGTGGGACAGCTGTTCACTTACTCCGTGGTGGCTGCTCCACGGGGTGACACTTCCTTTGAAAGGATGTCACTGCTGACCTGCTTATCAACACTATATGAGTAAAATTTTCCTCTTTCACACTTGGAATCTTATTTACATTTTTGGACTTATGAAACAACCAATTGTTAGGCACCTCAAACGTCTCCCCACTCCATCCCCATTTTATAAATGAAAAAACCAGGCTTCCTTCAAGTGGCAAATTTTCTAAGGCCATGGTGAATTAATAATAGTTTAAAAGTATTGTTTGACCTCAGATGTTTCATTGCTTATGAAATGGGATTGGCTCCAGTGTTTTCATGAGGATGAGTGAGATAAAATATGTGAAAACCACTAAAATAGAAATGCTGACTAGATTTTTAAGCCAGCACAAATTATAGTGCTCTGTGAAATGGAATTAAAATATAGATCTTTAGAGTGTGGAATTCACTCCCTTTTTTTCATTAGATTATAATATTCCCTACTGGTAGAGATTTTAGGGGTTGGCTCATCTCTTAATTTAATATTTTATATAGAATAAAGTAGAGGTTACACAGGTAGGTATTAGTAAAGCCCAAACTCAAAATTAATGATTTTCCCAAGTCTCTTTCCTCCTTGTGCATACATAGTAAGAGCTCGTAACTTTGCATTTTAGTGGGTGGGCATTAGCGTGGTTATGATACCTCCGTGGAGAAATAGGTGGTGAAATGAGAGTGGAGTGAAGGATACTCCTTTTCCTAGCCTGTTCTTTATTGAGTTCTGTGGTTTGTCCAAGCAGGGTATAAGACTTCTTTTGAGCCATTGTGTAAAATCACCCTTCCAATGTATTCTTATCTGAGGTTGATAAGCTTACTTTTTCCTGATTTCTCCCTTTACATAACTGGTTTTGTCATTTGGAAGGGTGTTGTAGGGCTCACAAAAATTAGGGATCCTTTCTACTGTGACTTGTTTATGTTATCAGTTGTTGCGGTTGGGGAGGTATTAGGGTGGGGAAAAGGGGGATTCTTCTCAGGGGTGCATATGCAGGAAGACCCTAACAGCTGCATCTTATATCTAATCCTTGCCTCTGGCTTTGCAGGGAGGATAGCAGTCTGACATATTGGTCCTTACCTTGTCTTGTGTCAGGTAGCATCCTGTTTTCCTTTCTGTGATTACATACAATGTGCCTTTATGTGTGAAATTTGTATTACTTTGGAAACTTTTGAAATATCCTAACCAAATCACTTTTTTTTTTTTTTTACTCAACAGAAAATGTCCTAAAAACAACAGAGGCCGACGACAGAAGCAAAACCTAGGTCATTTTACTTCAGATACGTCATCCAGAATGGTTTAGATGGATGACTTTTATATGTACACTGACCATGTGAGATACATTTATTATGTCTTTTTTTAAAGAATGGAAACGTTTATTTCAGAGGCCTTATTTTTGGACATTTTTAGTGTAGTACTGTTGGCTTGTAATATTCAGCTACAACAGTTTTGGACTCTTTAGTAGCCTTTGTCTTATGTTTTTAAATACAGAAATTGATTTCACAAATTTGTACCACATGGTAACTCTAAGACTTGTTCTTTACCCATGGAATGTAATATTTTTGCAAAGATGGACCACTTCACAAATGGTTATTGAAAAAATTCATACCCACTTCTTCCACAATGAACACAGCAAATGACTAAGCATGAACTAAAGGTAAAGATGTTTACAGATTACTTTTCTTACAAAAATAAAAATAAAAATCTAGAAGACACTGTGTTTAAATAGACACTTAAATGTTTTTGAGATTTAGTAAATGATTTTTTAGACACTGCTTATCGCATGAATTGTAAAGCTGTGTGTGTTAGATATAAAATATTTATAAAATATACGGACTGAAATTTGACTACTCCTCTCTGAAAAAAAGTAATTCCAATAATTTGAAAAAGTTTCTGGTAGCAGAGATGGATGAGATCATTGAAAGGTAGATTTAGATATTGTGAAAATGGTCTGTTTAACAAACAGATTGGAATAAAGCCTATTCTCTCAGTTAACTACTTTAATACACATTCATTTTTAAAGAAAATATTTGTTTTAACATAAATAACAAATTGTATTAGTGTTTGTGAATAAAATGCAAAAATGATTGTTAATGATTGGTGCTCTTAAAGTGAATTTGAAATTATGAGACCTCTATCCAAATTTGTCCTGTAGTAATAGCTATATTAATAGATTGTTGGTGTTTAAAGATCAGAAGTATGAATAGAATGTATTCAGCTGTTTAACATGTAGTTTAGATTAGAAGTATGCATGTAGACTTTAATAATATGTTCAAAGTTAAACATTAATTTTAATATTTGGTTTGAAAAAGCATGTTATAATATAATGTTTTCCCTATATGGCCTTGGCGTTGGTGTGTTTATTTACTGCATTCTTTGATACTGACCTGTTGGTACATTCAGTATGAAATTAATAGAAAAAGCAGATTTCAGTTCAGAACTCCTCTCTGCTTCTGCAAATGCTCCTTGTAATTGATTATCTAAAGATTTGCCTTTGACTTAACATTTGGAGTTTGGTCTTTTGTTCATTTGGCTATTTGGCTTTAAGCCTTAATATTAGTAACATGGTAGCTTTAGTGAACTTCTTTTTAGAAGAGCTTTTCTCTCCTCCCACACAATCTTATTTGAGTCCCTTAGTCAGTCAGCAAGCATGCTTGGAACAGTACCCAGTGCTTTGCAAGGGTTCATATTGCAGGACAGTCATGTATGGGTATTTATAGTTATAAATATTTGACTAGTCTCCAGGAATGAACCTTCCAACCCTTGAAAACAACTCCATTGCCCATTACCAAGCTAACCTTTACTCTAAGTGCCAGATTTGACTGTGGCAGAGCATCTTTCATTGAGAAATAAACAAAATGGAACATAATGGGTCTGCCTCAAACGCTGATAAAATCCACCAGAATCGCCTGTCGAATATTCCAGAAGATGAAGATCAAGATGCTGCTCTCACCATTGTGACTGTGCTGGACAAAGTAGCCGCCATCGTGGACAGTGTGCAGGCCAGCCAGAAGAGAATAGAGGAGAGACACAGGCACATGGAAAATGCCATAAAATCCGTCCAGATTGACCTCCTGAAGTTTTCACAGTCACACAATAATACTGGTTACGTCATTAACAAGTTGTTTGAGAAAACCCGAAAAGTCAGTGCTCATATTAGAGATGTGAAGGCCCGTGTGGAGAGGCAACAAGTCCAGGTTAAAAAAGTAGAAACCAAGCAAGAGGAAATATTGAAGAAAAACAAATTCCGTGTGGTCATATTCCAGGTAAGCTTATACTTAAGTTTAGTTTGATTGCTGTATTTCCTTGCATCTTTTAATTGCCAGCAAACCCTGTCCATTTCTGTGTTAATAATGTCATTATTAATGTCATCCATGTTATGTAAGCTATGGATCATAGCTGAGGCTGTTGCCTTGGAAATTTACCATAGATAAGGCTCTTTTACCATATTGTTCATATTAGCATGATGCTGTTTTATAGACTGCAAATTCCAAAACTAGAAAAGACCCTAGAGTAATCTCATTTAAAAACTGTTTGGTCATATAAAAAGAAATTGAGGACCATTAACTCCACAATGTGGTTCTCCCCTTCTTAAGAGAACCTGGAAGAACCATAAACAAAAAAGTATAAACAATATGGTAAAAGAGCCTTATCTATGGTAAATTTCCAAGGCAACAGCCTCATAAGTGTGTAATATTTAGTAATAAGAAAAACTTTTTTAATGTTCAGACAGTTATTTTTCATATTATTGTTATAACTATATATAGCTATATATATATTACTATATATATATAAAACTATAACAGATGTAGGAGTCACCTAAGTGATGCCTTTTATTTGATTATAGAGGTTTTTACTCAGCTGATTTAATGTAACAGTTTATGTTGGGGCATTGTATATTGAACTAAGTTCCTATATTACTCTGTACTTACACTTTTTGAAATAGGTCCATATCCATGGCAAGTATACAGTCTTTGTGATTAATTTAAACTGCTTGCAATTAAACAGGAAAAAATTGAACTCTCCCTCCGTAGTAGAAAACAGGAAAGTCACAAACAAGGGCACACAAGACAAAATAAATGACTAGAATTCTACTTCAGCCTATTAAATATTTGTAGCTAGTTACTAAAATATACTTAGGGATTAAGGGTAGGAAAAACTAACCCTTTCATATGTTGCTAGTAGGAGTATTAATTGGCATATTTTGGAAGGAGATTGCTAGTATGTGTTAAGAATGCTAAAACTTCATAAACCTTTCAGTCCCTAAATTGTCAATTGGTTCTAAGCATGAACTCAGAAATATATGCAGGGATATTTGTTGTTATCACATAAATGGATGGTTGCCCATATGCAGAGGAAAAAAAATCTAGATACATAGGTACAAAAACTTAGAAGAACAAAAGCAAAAGGAAGTGAAACAGGGAACATAAACCTTTGGATTATGTAGGCAGGTATTTGTAAGGTACGAAAGATGTGGCTCCTCATTCCTCCCAGCATTCTTTACACATTAGTCAATTCTCTGTAGCCTGCTGTTGACTGATAAAGTTGCACTGAGGTAGAGTGGTATTTTGGATGTTTTAAATAGCCTGTTGGTCACTTAGGAAGAATAGAGAGGGGAGTGAGAAGAGTTGCTTATTTCCAAGGTAGACAAGTTGAACGACACCACTTAAAGTCCTATATGATTTCCCTTGTGTTTCTGGAATGCCCATTGTCCAGATTTGAAAGTTTGGGGAAAAATCAGTCATCTTATTCTCAAGAGACCACTCCCAGTGCTAGTGTATGTAATGGGGATCTCGATTTGGTATTGGAAGATGTAGTGTCCATCCTCCCAGTCACTTTCCAAGGGCATTAGAAATAGTGGGTATATCTCGCTCTCTACTTGCAGGGGGCATTCTTGGTATCCAGCACTTCTCCTGAGAATCTTTGTGCAAGAGTGGACAGATATCATTCAAGATTTTGTTAGAGAACTTTCTGAAATGCTCTATTTGACATAGTATTTCTTCTTTAAGTTAGGATATTTCTATATTAACCTGTTTAATCCCCTGACACTTGGCTAGCTTTTCCCTTTTTTTGAGGTAACTAATAGGAGAGGGTATAAAAAAACAACTAGATCAGAGTTTCCTTATAGGATATAATGCCTTGACGATAAATTATATCCTATATTAGAATATAATTTCACAGATAAAATTTCTGTGAAATTAAGTTTTCAGAGTAAGCGGTTTGTCACTAAGCAGTTGCTCTCTTCTCTAATGGGAGAGCTTGTAGAAAAAGGCAAGTAACAATGGATTGCATGACCGATTCACTGGTAGAATCATAGTAACATGGTTACTCTGAGCAGTTAAAATTGACTCATAATTTATTCTCATAGTTAGTGTCTAAATGGTTATGTTGAGATTGTCCCTTCTAGTAAGACTAATTTGACACTGGGCAATTCAGCCACAGTGTAATTTATTTCCATTTGTGTTTTTCCTCAAAACATTTTCCCAGGTTTTATCTTTTGGTAAAGTCATTAGTGATATTTTATCACTTACAATTGTAGATAACTGAGCTTTCACCAAATCCTGGACATTGGACATTTAAAAACAAATTTTCTGCTATTTCTCATGCAATTGTGGTTTCTCTTTAAACATATTTGCAACATAATAACCCTCTCATCATGCAAATCAGTAGTTTTACCATATTTTCTAACAATTTTGCTCTCTAATCACATGTGTGTAGCTACCAAAATAGATATTTGGCTTCTCCTTAGTGGTGAGTCTCAGACTTCTATCTCTTCTTCACTATTTCCCTGATTACTTTGATTGTCAGTCAAGACCACTTTAAAATGTACTACTCATTCTGTAACAAAAGATCATCTTTTTTACCTGAACTTTTACATGAAAAGATACATTATAGTTTATATTTGGAATTCAATTCAACCCTGTAATGCCTTCAATTATTATTATGGTGTATTTACTATTAGCTCATGGTATTGCTGACCCAGAGGCATTGTGACAAGTAGATCTACATAACAATACCCCAGACTGTGTCTCTGTTTTGTTCTCAAGCCTGATTTTGTATGATTTGTTGTGCAATTGAAGAAAGTTATGTGATCCTGAGTCAAACTCTGTGTGATTTCTTCAGAGCAGGATTGTGAAGGTTTTCCTGCTACCAAGCAGTGATTATTCTTTGGCTCCTTCTTTTTCTAATTATACCTTCTCAGGCCATCCAACCTACTTGGTGTTGCTGAAGCTGCTCCCTGGAACAGGTGTCAGGAAAGGAGAGGAATAATTATGCTGCTTCTAACTGATTCACCAGCGAGTTATGAGACACCCATCATGCCTTTTTTAGCTCCCACACTTTCCCATCACATAGCCAGCAAATTTGATTTTAAAGTTTCCAAAGAAATAAGGTTCCAGGGATACCTTCTTGACACTCAGGCTGATGGATTTTAGAATAATTATCAGTGTATTTCTTACATTTTTTGGACTGAAATATATAATCTGGAACTCAAGTAGAAGGAATATAGTTTTTTTCAGATATTTTAACTCATGGGTTCAGTTAAAAAAAATCTCATGAACTTTAATGTTTTTCTTATTTAGATTTGGAAATAACCTGTAGAGAGTAGGATTGCATTGGTGGCTGTATTTCTGGGCTGGTTCTCAAGGTCACCAGTATCTGCCATGTTCCCAAATGTATTTTCACTCTATACTTTTGATATATTTGGCATAGTTGGCCCCTCCTCACTTACTGAAGCTTCTTCCCCCTTGCCTCTGGGAATGCCATTCTCGCATGGATTTCCTCTTGTTTCATTGGCTGATATTTCTCTATCTTTGTACTTCCCTCATCTCTTTCTTCTTATTTACAGATCCAAAATTTATTTATTAACATAAAATCCAGACATTTCAGAAAATAAGATTTTTCTGTAACTCATTTGTCAGCAAGACCTAGACTTCACCTGAACTCAGGTGGTCAAACCTGACTTGAAATCGTACAAAGGCTGTTTTGTAGTCTTTAGAAGGAATATATATATATATATATATATATATATATATATATATATATATATAGATAGATAGATAGATAGATAGATAGATAGATAGATAGATAGATAGATAGATAGATAATGTTATACATCCCCAAATCCAAAATATTCAGAATGCTGATGCTTTCTTGGCCCCAAGGAGTTTTGAATAATGAAGTGTAGACTATTCGCTCAGCATCTTGGTGATCTCTTTCATGTGGCCTCATGATTTTTAATTTCTGATTCCTCAGTTTCTCCACTTCTTCTATTCTCTATTAGATCTTTCTCCTAAATTCTAGGCTTAAACATGCAGCTAAATATTTGGCATTTCTGCTTGGATGTCCAGATGCCTTCCTAACCCTCAGTGTCTTCTCACTATATTCCCCATCTGAGTTAATGGCAAATCTGTTCTCTGTTGCTTATGTCTATATTTTGGAGTCATCCTTGATACTCTTTAATAGATCACACCCAAATCAGACAGCAAACCATGGTGACTCCACCTAAGTGAGTAGGGAATCAGATCACTTCTCCCCCTCACCTCTGCCAACAACCTGGTCCACTCTGCCTATCTCAGTGGTCTCCCATTGCCCTCTCTGCTTATCTTGCCTTCTTGCCTATTTTCAACAGTTTGATCCTTTTATAATAGGTCAAAGCATGTGACTGTCCTCTTCAAAACTTTTTAAAAGGCTTCTTATCCACACTCCGAGTAAGTCACTGTTGCAGCTACCTTCCCCGTTTTATTTTTCATCTTAGCTCTTACCGCCATCCAAGATGCAATATATTTAACATCCTTATTTCTCTCTAAGAATAAAAGCTTTTTATTTTCTTCACAGGTTTTCTCAGTTCTTGAACTAGTGTATGGTGTAGGTGCTTAGTAACTATTTGATGAAGGAAGGCATAAGCTTTTCTTTCATGTAACAGTCATTTATGGAGTTTTACCTACTATGTACATATTAGACATTGTAATAGATGGGGCATACAATAAATAAAACAATTCAGCCTTCACGGAATCTATCATCTGATGAAGGTTTCAGGGAGATAGACGTATGTAAGGTAAGACAGATAAGATATAAATATATGAGTAGAGTTGCAATCCAATTCAAACTGTGATAAATGTTATAAATATAGATAGTACATGTCATTTTGGTATAAATTAGAGACAGAATTAGCCTCTTGGGGAAGTTGGGAACATTTGAATTGATTCTTTAAAAAATTTTTTTGAATACAAGAATACAAAAGATGAAGGGTTATTTTTGGAGGCAAGAGTTAGATTTACAAGAGCAAGGAGGGATGAGTTAAATTTTAAGTATTTGAGGAATTGGGGTAATTTTGTGTTTCTGGTCTGGAGGTGTAGGAAGGCAAGTCAGTTCAAACTGAAGAGCTTTCTAATTGTAGTAAAGAATTTGAACTCCGAGCTTAGAGTGTTGATGAACTCCAAAAGTTTTAAAGCAAGAAGGCTGTGATTAGAGCTATGCTTTAGAAATATTTTTTTAAAGATTTATTTATTTATGCATATAAGAACTGGGGTACAGGCCATAAGAGGAGTCACCAGAGACAGAGTAGGGAGCAGAACAGGCAGATCAACTGAAATTCACTGCTGAGGGGTGCAGTGGGTGGGTGGATCAGAAGAGGTCTGCTGCACCACGTGGGTCAGTCCCCTAGTCAGGGATTGAACTCACACTGCAGTGTCTGCGAATAGCTTCATAGTGCTGTGCTTTAAGCCGTTGTGCTACCACGGAGGGCCTTAGAAATATTTCTTAGAGAATATTTTGGTGATTGCAAGTAGAGGTATTGTACAAGTTTAGGTCTGAGATGACTGGGCAGTGAGAAAGAAGAAAGGAAGTCACTAAGCAGCATTATTGACAGTAATTGGTGGTGAAAAGGATGGATGAAAAGGAGAGGACATATTTGAGATTCTTATCTGGGTGGCATTTGGATATGGTAAGACATAGCTGAGGATGATGGATGGGTCTTGAGTTTGAGTATGGATGTGTTAAGTTTGAGATGCCTATGCTACATCTAAGCGGGCGCTTCATCATATAGAAATGCTTCATCTTAGGAGAAAGGGGCAAGGCAAAGCGAAATGGTGTGTTTGCTTGCAATTAAACCTGAAGGCATAGGAGTAGATAAGGTTGGTTGGGGTGATCTTGGGAGATGAAGAAAAAAAAGCCAGGGAGAAAGAAACTCTGAGAAAACCAACATTTAAGGAGCAGGCTGAGGATAGACCTTCTACAGAGGAGACTTCAAAGGCATAACCAGAAGGTCAAAAAGCTGATTTCTAAAATGCTTTCTTTTTCTTTCTTTCAGGAGAAGATTCAGTGTCCAACATCCCTATCTATTGTTAAAGATAAAAATCTAAGTGAGGATCAAGAGGAAGAGGAAGATGTCTTTGATCCTCCAATCGATCTATCTTCGGATGAAGAATATTATGTTGAAGAAAGCAGATCTGACAAGCTTAGAAAGTCAGGCAAGGAACATATTGATAACATCAAAAAGGCATTTTCTAAGGAAAACATGCAGAAGACACGGCAGAATTTTGACAAAAAAGTAAGCAGAATCAGAACTAGAATTGTGACCCCAGAGAGGAGGGAGAGGCTAAGACAGTCAGGAGAGAGGCTGAAACAGTCAGGAGAGAGGCTGAAACAGTCAGGAGAGAGGCTGAAACAGTCAGGAGAAAGATTTAAGAAATCGATTTCTAATGCAGCTCCTTCAAGGGAAGCTTTTAAGATCCGTAGCCTTCGGAAAGGTAAAGACCGAACTGTGGCTGAAGGCCCAGAAGAGGTCAGGGAGATGGGCGTGGACATCCTTGCCAGAAGCGGGTCTCTGGGCCCGGTCAGTGAGTTCTGTAGTGATGAGCTCAGTGAAACAGACCATGAGGAGGCCAAGGCAGTGTGTCCTGCACAGGATGGTGGGGACATCCCCACCCCAGAGCCTCTAAAAGTTACTTTTAAACCTCAGGTGAAAGTAGAGGATGACGAATCTCTTTTGGTAGATTTAAAACCGTCGTCATAAAGAAGAATTAAGTATCAGTACAGAGCTCTTTAATCATACAGTTATCGTTTAAATAGTATAGTCATTTATTTCACATGCCATATAGGAAAACATAAGTGCGTTTGGCTGTTTCACTTCTTAGGTTTAAAATCATAAAGATACTACAAGTATTATGTACATTAGCTTGTAACTTGGCTTGGAAATATTTTTCTTCCTCTGGGCTTACAAGATTCTAGTATCTTGTTTTCTTAGGTCAGTCTTATGGCAGCTGTGGGTTTTTAAATCCCTTTTCTCTTGTCCACCAGAAAATGTTTCTTGGAAGGGCCAGTTAGAGATTTGTTAGTCTGAAACAAATGAAGGGTAGATGTGTGGCCATCCTGTGCAAGTGAATTCTCGGTTTGGTCTATATTAATGTGGCCAAACTCAAAAGGGAATAGCTTCTGTGAGCTATGTTGTTTGTATGTTCAAATGAATATATTCATTAACACATTAGCAGTCATACCTCTTTTGGTGATTTTGCATTAAAAAAATCAGGCTCTGGACTTGAGCATTTGGTAGTAGGATGAGAGGGTTTGCTTGTCCTGCCAAACTCAGAGATTTATGAAGACCAAAGGGAAACCTTATACATTCTGGAAAGCAAGCAGCACATATGGAGAAGCCAATCCCTACTGATCCCTCAAAAGCAGAATCAAAATAAACCTGAAAGAACTTTGTGTGCCAAATGGGAACTAGGTTGGACAGAAACAAAATATGGTCATCAGAAGCCTTTTCCCAGACTAGGAATGAAAACTAAAGGTTTGGGTGACATCTTTTCATCAAAGACTAAAATCAGACCTTGGGTTTTAAAATGTTGCCTGGAAAAATCCTTTTCTAATTTCTTTTGATTTAGATCTGTGGTGCATTATAGCTGAGCAGCATGGAGCATGAAAGTGTGTCTGTCTTCACGAGTCTTTTCTCGTCAGAGTTGGTGCACTGGGTTGGGAATGACCTCAGATATTTCTCTCTTCCAGAGTGAGCCCCTTAGGGCCCATTCGTTCAATACAGTGTTCATAGGAGTTCATCACATCTGCTTTGGGAAGAGGCCAGATTGCACTTATCTGTTAAGCAGTAGATATTATTGCCAAAGAAAGAGAAATGGTTACATTGATTCTGGACTTCTGGTATGTTTAAATATTCCAGCTTGTATCCGGAAGAACGATGGAATTGTTGAATTTGAAGAGTTTGGATAACAATCAGCTTTCAGATCAGTTTTGGATGGTCATGTGATTGTTAAGTTTCTAATGTTACATGCACAGACACAGATAAAAATCAGCTTTAAAATATTTGACTCACTTAGATGTTTGAGTTTGCAAGGTGTGGTTCAGCATCATTTTCTCTGAACTTTTTTTTTTAACTTATACAGAAATGAAGTATGGTCATCAGAATCCCTTTTCCCAGAACTAGCAATGAAAACTAAGTGTTTGGGTGACATCTTTTCATCAAAAACTAAAATCAGACCTTGGGTTTTAAAATGTTGCCTGAAAATCCTTTTCTAATTTCTTTTGATTTAAATCTGTGGTGCGTGTGTGCAATATTGAACAATTTCAGAAATGTTACACATTAGAAAGAGCTTGTTGCCAAATCATCTATTTCTTTAAAGCCATAATATATTTGAATTTTAAAAGATGATATTATATAAATGAATGCACACAACAGGACATGGATTTTTACATAGGAGCTCTTATAGTATGTAGGTTTTTAGGTTACGAAGGATGTTTGTTTGTTTGTTTTTAAGAAGGAATTTTATGTTTCTTTCTCTAGCACCATGTAGAGTAAGTACCAATTAGGCTGAAATATTTTTCTGCAAATATTATTGTCAAGGAATTTTTATGAAGTTCATTTACTTACTGACCCATTTTATAATGAGAATTGACCTATCATGAAACATTTCCCATAGAGATATATTTGAATTTTGATGAAGAAAGAATTATAAGCTGGTCAGCTCTTCATCATGATATGTGCAGCCCCAGCAACACTAAATTTCATGTTCTCAGATGATGATTACAGGACTTTCTTAGTACCAGGCTATTCCCTCCATGCTTCTTCTATCCCTGACATTTCTCCACATATTTATGGTACCTCTGAGTTTCATGTTCATGTTTTTTTTTTTCTTTCAGTTTATTTTTTTCATACAAAGAATATTTTTACAGTGGGCTACACAGTCATATAGCCCCATTTAGTACAAGAATATGCTAGTGCCCATTATTTTAAAAGTCTCAGGCCACTGGAATAGATACTCTTCTGTGTTATTAAAATTATACAAGTCAGATTTTAAAAAAATTATTCAATAAAATCAATAGCCAGGGGTCTCCCTAGTGGGGAGGGGTTACAAATCTAAGTGCTTTCACGCAATTGCCAACCACTGTAGCATGAGTTTGAATCCCGGCCAGGGAGGTGACCCACATGGCACAGCAGACCTCTCCTGTTCTGCCCGCTGCTCTCCTCAGCAGTGTATTTCAGTCAATCTGCCTATTATCTCCACGCTCTCTGGCGAATCCTCTCACCCCCTGTACCTCTGGACTACCCCATTTCTTGTATGCATAAATAAATAAACCTTTTAAAAAAACCAATAGCCAAACTTCTCTCCTTTTCTTTATACAAGGCAGAGTGGCATAAGCTGCATACTTGGTAAGTGCATTGGCCTGCTCACAGGCCTTTGTACAGAGTGGACAGTGTAGATTAGGGAAGTGCAGCCCTGTCTCCTTTGTATGTGATCAGGGGCCTTTCTCTGAGAGCCGGTGGTGGCCTGTTCTGATTTGTGGGCTAGAGAAACAGGCAAATTGGAAAGAAGCTCTAAGTGGTACATGAAAATTCAGTTTGCTGAGTGTATTTGTGGTATATATGGACTCTTTTGAAGAAGTTTTCATAAATCAAAAATACAAGGCAAAATATTTTCATTTTGACTTCATTCTTTTCCTTCCTTGTACATTTAAAGGTTTGGTTTAGAACCATACCTGAAGTTCATTGTTATTCTATCAATTAAAAAGTATAGGTCCTATTCTGTAAATGCCCCAGAGTCATTATCAACCATGCAACTTCCTCCCATGGAATGACTGGGCCTTCTGAGTGGCCACCTTTCAGTGACCACATTTACTTGGGATGCTTCCAGAAAGAGATGAAATAAATTAAATTATGCATGGGATGTTTCTTGGCCTTATTTCGAAGACATGGAGAAGATTTGTGCCAATTTGAGAATGTTTTCTACAGCTTTTTATTGAAAGCTACTTTATAGATTGTGATCCCCAAATAAATTACTGGCATATTTGAGTCAAGTCTAGGGGGAATGGCCACTCATCCTCAATTCTTTTTGAAGTTGGGATAAGTAATAAAGGAAAATTGAAATTTTTGTGTGTTCTTGTGACCATCTTTGGGGTGTCAGATGTTTGAGGGATATATATATTTGTCCCTACCAGGTCAGAGTCCTCCGAGTCTATTCATGAGAGGATGGGAGTCCAGAACAACCACCTCTTCACTCTGAGTCCCCCAGAACATCCAAGCATCCCCAGGGGGAGAGAATGTAGTGGTAGCATATCTTCAGACTCTATATTTGTTTGGTGTCTTTAAATCACGTCTGCTTGTCAAGGGACCGCCCAGACTACTCTGCTCCTTGATGTCTTTGCTCAAGCTGTTTGTATCCCTTTGATTCTGAGAGCTTTCAGGTTCAGTGATAATGTCAGTGTTCTGAAAACTTGAAAGCTTTCTCACTTTAGTTTTCCATGATCACCTCCCACTCCCAAAGAAGGCCATGATTAATTACGCCATACATTCAATATGTATAGCTATATATTTGTATGCTAGATTCCTTGTGAATAAAACATCCTGCCTCTCCCACCACTACCTCCTCCCTCCACCCTGCCCCTTCCCATCCTTTTCCCAGCCTTTATCTTGGGCTAGCAGTGTTCTGGGTGACAGTCAAGCAAAAATTCAGCAGCACGACTAGTGCTATATAAAACCATAGAACTGTAGACATGGGAAGAGCTTCCATTGTTTATATATAACCTTGGCCATACATCTGTTATAGCTACTTGCATTGTATTCCAGTTTATTGATGTTACTATCTCCTTCATTGTGCTTCTCAAGGACAAGAACGTCGTTTTACTCCCCGTTGGGTCACCAGCACTTGGAGAATCTCCCATTAGGCACTGTGAATTCAGAAATGAAAGACAGTCCACCCTACACTTGAACTTTGCCTCTGGCAGAGGGGATGGACATGCAACGCCCCCTCATTACACAGTGATAGAATGCTTCTCAGGTTTGAGAAAGGATGACATAGGAGCATAGAACATCTAACACTCTGGGGAGGAACTGTAAAGAAAGCTGAGGATGGGCCCTCCCTAGTGGCACAACGGGTTAGGGCAAGCTAGCTGCAGCTGCTTCCGTGCAAGTTCTATCCCCTGGACCAGAGTTGATCCACTTGGCACAGCAGACCTCTCCTGTCTTGCTCGCTGCTCCCCTCAGCAGTTTACTTCATTGATCTGCCTATTCGGCTCCCCACTCAGTGTCTGGTGAACTTCTCACCGCCCCTGCCCTCTGGCCAGTTCAGAACGCATAAATAAATAAATGTTAAAAGAAAAAAAAAGAAAGCTGAGGAGAATGATGCTGAAGTTGGCATTTGGAGACTAAGAGTCAGCTATGTAATAGAAATTGGTAAGATGCAGCTAGTAGATTATATGAAGGTGTTTTGACTTCTCACACTAAAGGCCATAGAGAGCAATTGGGACGTTAAGCTGAGGTATGTGCTGTGATTGATGTTTTGAAAGAATGCCCTATTAGCACACCAGAGACAGTAAATATTAGTTGGTCCTTTGCATTTTTCTAAGTAGAAAAAGCACCTGAGTTCCCTCCCTTGGCACAACCGGTTAGGACACAGCACTGCAAACTGGCCACAGCCGCTTTCGTGCGAGTTCGATCCCCTGCCCTGGAAGTGACCCACATGGCGCAGCAGACCTCTCCTGACTCACCCGCTGCTCCCCTCAGCAGTGTACTTCATCAGTCAGCCTGTTCTGCTCCCCACTCTGTCTCTGGTGACCTCTCATTGCCCCTGCACCTCTAGCTTGTAACCCAGTTCTGTATGACTAAATAAATAAATCTTTAAAAAAGAAAAATCACCTGATTTGAAGATACAGAGCTTTGAGCCAGGTAAACTTGGATGTGAGTTATGGTCAGGGCGAATGCTAGCCAGGCTTCGGGCTTGAGCAAGTGGCTGTGGCATTCACTAAGATTAGACTAGGACTCTAAGAGCACTCTCTTTGCCCATACCCCCAAAACTCCCACTAGAGGTCTGCCTGGTCTAGCTTCTGTGGCTCTTACAAAAAAAAAAAAAAAAAAAACTGATTTGAAAGGATCCTTGGCTCCAGTGTGCACCTTGCTGTCTCCAGCAGGACTCCATCTCCGTCAGCAGCAGAGTTGCCTTTCTGGTCTAAGGCGTCTCTCCCATCTATATCTTTCCTTTAGGACTGGTTTCTGTTTGCCATTGTGCAAGCTACTCTTGATTCTCAGAATGGATTTTTCCCCCCTAATGTCATTTGTTCAGCACTTAAGGATTCTGGCCAAGACTGCTCGATACTGCCGCTGCCACTACATAAAGCCCACTGGCTTTATGTACCAGTGATAACCTGGTACGTTGGCAGAGGTTCGTGTAGCTACTCTTATCCATGCCATGGTTGCAACAAGACCCTCAGTCTCACCGTGGTTATCTTGATTTCACATCTCATCCCTCAGTATCAGTTGTGTTAGATCTGATGGCATGATATCACAAACATATTAGTGATGTACCCCATTTTCTTTATCTGGAGTTCTGGCTGATGGATGAATTCACATGAAGATTGCCAGCAAAATGGAGGTGTCATCTTTACTACTGACTGGACAAATTCCATTATTTCCCCAAATGCAGAGCATCTGGTGAATTTTATTGGAGAATGAGGCTTAGACCTAAGACAGAAATAGAATCTCTTTTCTGCATGGAACCCTGCATGTTCTGGTGTGGTAATAGGGAGACCAAGGCTTGTAGAACAGAAAGAAAGTCTATTGGCCAACAGTGAATCCCAGTGACCTGTCTCACATACTCCACCAAGGCAGACAGTTTGGAGTGGAGTAATCCAGCTCAGGTGGGCAGGTAGCAAAGAGACAGGCTGGGGCTAATGGGTCAGGAACTCCACTACGCCTGAAGGTGGGGGCCATGGGGAACCACAAAGTGAGTTAGCAACTCTGCACGAGAAGGTAGTTGTTGCTCTTCTGAGCCCAGTTCTGGGCTCTTGGCCTAATCTTCAGAGAGGACTGAGTGGAGGATAAGCGTGTAGGAGGTGCAGATCACAGTCCCAGGACAGGACTGAAGAAACACACTGCTAGGTGAAGTACTGATACAGGAAATAGCTTGCATGAGAAAATCCAGTGAGTTTGTAAAAGAGGAATGGATGAAGATCTCCTTTGCAGGAAGAGATGATTTAAGAAGTCAGCCAACTTCTGCCTTTTACATTAAGTTGTTCTCAACAATTCTTGGTCTCCAGAATTTTCTCCTGACCAGTCTGTGACTACCCTTACCTTTGAAAAGGCAAAAATGGTTTATCCTCAAACATTGTCATGTTTCATACCTTGCTGATATAATTCACTTTAAGATAAGCAAGCATCAAATTTTGTTCTAAGCTTTAACGCCACAGCATCTTGTTCAGCATCTTGTTATGCATTCATTAAGGTATCACTCCTGGATGCGTGATTTGCTCACTACATAAATTATAGCAGCTAGCTTATTCCAGATAATCTCAAGGGCTAATATTCTTAATTTATCGGAGTTATATTACGCCTTTTACGGCAAATTCTCAACAAATGTGGTTATGCAGATATGTTATTGCAGGGTAAAATAGATCCATTGTAATGAATTCGCCACTTAATTGTATTAACACCTTTCAAGTGACCTCATTGACTAGGGATGTTTCCAAAAACAAGAAATTGATTAACAAATTATGCATGGGATGTGCTTCACTGTAATTGGAAGCAAGGGAGAAACTTTTGAACAAAAACACGAATAACAGTCAATTGTAAAAAAATAGGACTAGTTTTTCTTCAATAGGAGAGAAAATCCAAGGGAACCCAAGGGGAAAGTGCCCTAAAATATTCTCTAATTGAAACACATCTTTTCCACATAAAAAGCCATCAACATGACAGGCAAAACTTGAAGAGAAAAAATGTTTGAGTTATTCTCCCAGAGTCTTAAAGTCATTTTTAAAATGGTAACCTTAAACGTTTTTTTCCCCCAGCTCCAGAATGACAGCATCTGTGAAGGTAGAGGAGCGGGAAGAGCCTGAATAGTTTTTGGTTATGGTCCAAAGGAGCCTATAATTTACTCCTATGGCTTGATGGCCATCTGCCATAGAGTGGGTGGTTTTTCTTGGTTTTCTCTCCGAGTCTTCTGAGAAAGGATGATGAC